AACAGGTGGAAAATCTATCACTCATCTTGAATTGGGGACACACCTATATATTTGAACATTTTTACTGAATGGATTTTGATGGTTAAGTTATAAAGTGTCTGTCCTTGCAGGTTGTTGAGATCAAGAAACAGCTGCCACAAGAAGTATAGCATTAAGCTTTATTAGATAGATTATATAAATTTTACAAGTCTGATTGGCTGACTGACTGACCTTCCCTCTTCTTTTGCCCTCTTTGTCCCCTAAGGAATCAGGGAAGACTTACTCAGAGTCTCTTCCTTGTATAAAGTGAGTTTCTTCTGGATGGATAGCGACAGAGATAAAATGGAGTTTGTTTATGCAGTGTGTGCTGTGTTTCTCACCTTGCAATAATCTCATCAACAGAATAGACATATAGTAAACTACCGTGTTTTTTTAATTAAACTTTCAAGCTCAAAACATAGACTCAGATTTCTTTAAATCCAGTTTAAATACAGAGCATAAGGAGGATATAGCTATTCACCTGCTTCATAAGAGAAACAAATTAGTTTATAAATTATTTTCAACCACCAGAGTTTATCTGATTTGTTCGGAACTGCAAAATTCCCATTTCAAATGCCACATATGTTTATACATTATTAATCTATAAAGAGGTTAGGGGTGGAGTAGAATCTGAATCTTTCTACTCCTAATCCAACCCCCCCATTGGTTCTACTGTATAGTTCTCTCATTCATACTGTGATCCCAACCTCTCAGCCTATCACTTTCCTAATATATGAAGACTTTAGTTTAATCAATAAAACATAGTTTAAATTTGTCATGCAAAACAGGATATGAAATGAAACAGCTTCACAACATCAATATATGATGTTAACATCTATCTTTCCTACAGGTGTTCAAGGCAGCATACAGAACACCTCCTCCTATAATTTCTCATAACATCTACCCTGTAAGGCTTCTAGTATTTATTTCTGGCAATTTCTGGCAAAACCTTATTCAATTTTAGGATTCTATTCAGATTTGCATTTCTATTCATTTAAATGCTCAAGGCAGGGTTATATATAAATGAAACAGTTTATGATTGAGATATGCTTAATATTTTCTTCAAGAATTATTTTTTTTGAATGCTGCCTTCTGAACAGGCCACGTGGAATGTTTAATGGGGCACTAAATGGAGATTAAAAACAAATTGTAGGAGTAGAAACACATTCTTTTATCAAGAGCTTTTGGTGTGGGTGCTAGAACTCTGCAAACAGAGGCAAGATAGAAAAACCATCAACATATCAAACTTCATCAAAGATAAGCTTGGGGAGTCTAAATGATACTGTATATTGGATCTCATAAGTGAGACTGAGAAGAGAATAAAAACAAAAATAATTCTTTCTTGGTGCTGGCAAAATAATCTTATTTATACTTTTATTTTGTTTAGGAGAATGAAATAATCAAATCAATAAATAGTTTCCATGTATAGAATGCTTGAGAGATGCTTTGGAAAATGCCACAATTACAAAACAAGTATTGTAAGTTAATGGATACTTTATGCTATATGGCTAATTTTTAATCTGCTAGCAATTGGACATCTATACCAGCCTTCCCCATACAGGAAAGGAAAGACCATAAAAGTTGTGATCAGATAATGTTGACAACATTGTGAAAAAGAAAGAGATGACGAGTTTAACTATCATAATGATGAATTGACATAGTGGAAGAGTAGAAAGGTATGGAGGGTAGAGTGACCAGTGTTGGTGTAATGGCTCCTCTCCTAACTTGAGGAAGTAAAGACTCTTGAAAGGGATTATTTCAAAAGGAACCTTTAATCAGTCAGGATGGAAACCATTAGAAGCAAAGCAGCACCCTTTAGGCAATGCAAGTGGGATTAAGCTGATAATGACCCCTCCCCTTTGTCCGAATGCAGATTCTGATCAATAGACAACTGTGAAGATGTTTCCTTAACTCTTCTGCCCAGAGTCAATAAAACACATGATCCCATGGCTAT